ATATATATATATATATATATATATATATATATATATATATATATATATATATATATATATATATATATATATATATATATATATATATACAGTTTAAGTCAGAATTATTAGCCCCCTTTTGATTCCCCCCCCCCCCCCCCAAATTATGTTTAACAGAGCAAGGAAATTTTCACATTATGTCTGCTAATATTTTTATTTATTTGTTTTATTTCGGCTAGAATAAAAGCAGTTTTTAATAAAAAAAAATAAAACATTTTGGGACAAAATTATTAGCCCCTTTAAGTTATTTTTTTAAGAACAAACCATCAGTATAGAATAACTTGCCTAATTACCCTAACCTACCTAGTTCACCTTATTAACCTAGTTAAGCCTTTAAATGTCACTTTAAGCTGTATAGAAGTGTCTTGAAAAATATCAAGTAAAATATTATTTACTGTCATCATGACAAAGATGAAATAAATCAGTTATTAGAAATAAGTTTCTAAAACTATTATGTTTAGAAATGTGTGGAAACAATCTTCCCTCCATTAAACAGAAATTAGGGAAAAAATAAACAGGGGCGCTAATAAGTCAGGAGAGCTAATAATTCTGACTTCAACTGTGTGTGTGTGTGTGTGTGTGTGTGTGTGTGTGTATATATATATATATATCACGTATGAGTTTCACATCGGTTACTTCCATAATGGAGAAGTGTCGCATTCATAACGAAGCTTTTCCTTTATAAATGCAAAGTATGAAATAAAATAAAATCAATCGTGTTTGTTCTATAGCGAGCAACTCTTCTTCTTATGATTAGCATTACTTTTGGGGTTTGTACAGGGGGTACAAACTTTTGGGGTTTAATTCACAGAATTTTTACAAAGTAGGTTTGGTTGCATCCATAACGCATGTTTATTTTCCTCATTTAAAGTACAAAAAAATGTTCACAGCTTCATATTTTCTGGTCCCTTTACTGTGTGGTCAGTTGTTCTGAAAAATATAAACAGAAGTTTCAATATATTGTTGATGTATACTTTCTATGGGAATTTATGTTCTAAGTTTTTACAAATGTCACATCCATAACGCTGGAATTGTGGAATATACATGTGTATATATATATAGATATGTGGAAAAATGAGTTTTGCCATTTGTGTTGTTAAAAATAAAGCCGCAGATGTGATGAAATCTCATCATTACTGCAGTTTGATCGCGTTTCCAGTCTAAGATTTGATCCTTTATGAGATTTGATCCTTTATGAATGACAATGTGGAGGAGCATGTGAAATTCAGGGATAATGCTGTATAAAATGTGAAATGTTAATAAAAAAGGAGAAAAATGGAAACTATACACAGAAAGTGAAGCTTCAGATTGTGAATGGAGGCCTCGTGATTGTGAAACTGTACCGCCATCTTGTGTCATGACAGAATATTGTTTATTAAAAGAGGGATCTTTCCTTTTTATTGATTTTTTTACGTTTCCAAATTGTGCGGCTTTTTTGCTGTTGTTGAAAGCTGTAATTTCATTATAACCATAAAAACAATAACAATAAAATGTCATTTAATCATTAACCCTCAAAGAGTCAGCTTAATTGCTAAATTATTGAAATGTTATTTTATACCTTAGGAGAAGACTTCAGTACAAAATTGTAGAGTCACGTTGACTATTAAAATGTAGTTAAATCATAAAAACGTTTAATTGATAATAATTTAGAATAAAATGATACAATGTAAAATAATTTTAAATTAAAATAATGATTAGTTTTTTGGGGCTGCGTGTGATCTTTAGACTCTTTAATGTATGTAACCTCACTACTCTTGTTCTATATTTCTCAGACACTATATTGACATGTAAACCCCACAAATTATATTCTGACATTTAGTGTTGTAAAAATCATGATATTCACTTTTTTGTTCCCAAAAAAAAAAAAAAATGCGATTAAATTGGACAATATAATGTACTGGAAAGAAATGATTTTACAGTGCAGTAAATGTGTTTCTATTAGTTGAACATAATCAGTTTTGTACATGCACAAAACTTAAGCGCATATTGGAATTCAAGCATTTTTAAATCTTACTTTTAATAATGTACAGTTGAAGTCAGTATTATTAGCCCCCTTTTGATTTTTTTTTCTTCTTTTGTAAATATTTCACAAATGATGTTTAACAGAGCAAGGAAATTTTCACAGTATGTCTGATAATATTTTTTCTTCTGGAGAAAGTCTTATTTGTTTTATTTCGGCAAGAAAAAAAGCAGTTTAAAATTTATTTAAAGCCATTTTTGGGACAAAATTATCAGCCCTTTTAAGTTAATTTTTTTTTCGAAAGCGTAAAGAACAAACCATCGTTATACAATAACTTGCCTAATTACCCTAACTTGCCTATTTAACCTAATTAACCTAGTTAAGCCTTTAAATGTCACTTTAAGCTGTATAGAAGTGTCTTGAAAAATATCAAGTAAAATATTATTCACTGTCATCATGGCAAAGATGAAATAAATTAGTTATTAGAAATAAGTTTTTAAAACTATTATGCTTAGAAACGTGCTGAAACAATCTTCCCTCCATTAAACAGAAATTAGGGAAAAAAATAAACAGGGGCGCTAATAAGTCAGGAGGGCTAATAATTCTGACTTCAACTGTAAGTCAAATGGACTCATTTAATTTTATTAATTGCACTACTCGATTTTACAGTGGAGTCTATTTTAGTTCATGCCAATTGTTCTTAAGTTAAGCATACTCCATTTTGGCACATGCATTTTTTTAATGCAAATTTTCAACTTCTACGTGCATCTTGGCCAGTGGTGAAAAGAGTTTTGCAAAGTCTATATATAAACGCTGAGTAATATTTACACCAGATACTTTTACTCTACTTGCACTTTTTTTTTAGGCAAGTAATGATACTTTTACTTAAGTATGACTTTTCAGAAGTACTCAAGAGTAGTGAGTCATACGCTGTAAAAAAAGTTGATGCGTTTACATGCAATTTTTGGATGTGTGTAAACGTAACATTCTGTAGTGCATTTAGTTATTGCCCAGCAGGCACACAACATCATAAAACGTTAATTATACTGTAGGTTAGATATAGATTGTGATGTCAGGTGACCAAAATTCAATATCTAGCCAGCATCTAAGGACAACATTATTTTGACGTCCAATAATGACATCAAATGATGTGGATTTTTGGTTGATTTTTTATTTTTTTTTTTAGTTTTGTGAAAAAGTGACCAAAGTCGAGCCAACATCTTAAACCATCATCATATTGATGCCAAATACTGACATTATTTCATTAGGTATGGTATGGCAACCAAAATTGAACATCTGATAGACGTCATAGTGGTAACGTCCACACAACGTCAACCTGTAAAAAAATTAGACGTTGATATTTGGTTGGACTTTGGATATTGACATTAGCCTGACGTTGGGTTCTGACGTCAACATGATTTTCATTTCCAGACAAAATGCAATGTCCTCATGACGTTGGGGTACAACGTCAATCTGACGTCATGTTGACGTCCTGTACCTGCTGGGTGTTTAAGGCCATTTCTGTCATTATACAGTAAACATCCGTCAACTTCTCATCAGTGTCATGCATTTAAACAGTCTCTGGGTCAATGCATGTACAGATTTTGGACATCTTCTTGAACACTTATAATGCTTCCAAACAGT